CAATAAAATCGATTTATTGGATTATAAAACTTTACTACTTTACATTGCGCATTTAGGTCGAGATGGAAAATTGAAAACTAATGTAGGCTATAAATATAAATATTTCTTTAGTACCTTGTTTCCTCCAAAAACAGGCAGTGCTGTGTTTACCTACACAATTTTAAACAAAGAAATACGTGTATTGGAACGATTCTATTAAACTTATTGTTCGGTTAGAACTTTTACACGCTACAAAAAGCGGTGGAAATATAGACGTTCGAAACAAAGTACTGTCAATAGAAACGAGTTACGAGAACTAGGTGTAATATCATGAGTAAAGTAGCAAATGAACTACATAGACCAGCTAGAAAAATATTTCCTAGAAGAAGAGATGAATCGTACGGCAAAGATGACTTGTGGTAAGCGGATTTAGTAAATATGTAAAAATTCTCCACCAAAAATAAAAATTTTACATTTATTTTAACGATAATCGATGTTTATACAAAATATGCGTGAGCTATGCCCTTAAAAAGAAATCTAGTACAGAAGTCAAGTCGGCTTTTGAAAAAGTCTTGTATAATAAAGAACTTACAAACAGATCGTTGTTTAGAATATTTCAACAAACATTTTCAGATATTCATGAAGAACAAAAATATAAACCATTATTCAACCTACGTTACATTGTAAGTGGCTTTTGTAGACACAATTTAATAGAACACTAAAAGAAAAAATTTGGAAAAAATTTTCTTTCAATAGATCATACAGTTGGATAAACATAGAAAATTTAATAACACATTACAATAATATAAAATATAGAACCATAAAATTAACTCCTAGTATAGCATCACGTAATCCAAGAAATGTCAGTTTTTATAAAAATAAGCATAAAGCAGTATTTTCAAAAGGATATACACAAAATTGGACATAGGAAATGTTTACAAATGCAAAAATTTGTACTACAAATCCCATCGTGTACGAGCTAACGGATGGAAACAACAGACCTATAAATGGTTGTTTCTATAAGCACAAACTTATCAAGACTCAGTTTCCAGAATTTTATTTAGTTGAAAAAATCATTAAGAAGAATAAAGACAGATGTTTTGTCAAGTTTGATAGTTTAGATAGTTCACACAATAAATGGATAGATTCAATTAATATTATATAAAGTAACCTTAATTTTTTTTGACATTTATTGTAATAAAACATTTTTTCATTAATATAATAATACATTTAGTTAAATGAATAAATAGTTACAAACATAACACGAGGTTTTTTTAATAATTAAAAAAATATATAAATATATTTCACAGATATGTTTACGCATATACATATATTTTTTTAAATTAAAATTTCATATTATATTATGTTACATTAAATAGAATGTTTTGAAACTAATTATATACGAGAACATCTATATTTAAAACATACATTTTCAATTCTTGACAATATTTTTTACAATGATAATAACTTAAAAATTAAATAAAACTATAGGTATAATGCCCGTGGGCCAACGTGTCGATTCTGTTGTCGAGCGTGTAGCACTTATCGTCGAAATGGTAAAGCGCCTACTTGGTTGTACGTAAAGTGCGTAACTCATGCTCAACAAACGAATGAGATGATAATAATCCAACAGGAAGCTGGAGGCGACACACACACACATTATTTTGGTGGTAGCTAATTAAAGATAAACATAAGACAAAGAGTAATGGTCGCGATGATGGTAAAAATTCAACTACCGTTTAGGATATTGGTATTATAGCATAGTGGCCGTGAATTCCAAAAGTGTTTATGCGTAATGTCTGCCCTCCTGTAGTAATACGCATGTCACTGTGACAACGATATAAGCCTAGTCGGCGTTACAATAATAATGTGAGATATGATCACATATATGTGATCGTATCACTACTTACTCTTATGATAGAAAATAAAATCACAATAAAATAATTTATGTAACTACTAAAAGTTTTAGTTTACTTTGTAATAGATTACTTATTCATCGTATATGTTTAATGTTTATATCTTCTTCATCTTCCTCGCCTTAATCTCAACTACTTAGGGTGGGCCACACTTATCCTAAACTTCCATTGGCACGATCTTCCACATCCGCTACGCTCACATCAGCTGTTCTCAAATTGCTAAAATATGTCTATACAATATTTTTATAAAATTATTCTTTATTAATATAAAATTGTAATTTTATTTGCTTATGTTATACAATTATTATATTATATTGAATTGAAATATAATACTAAATTATATTATATGTTTCATAGTGTTATTTTAGGTTATAACGTTTATTATTGGTTCATGTCCCTTGTGTAGAACGGCCTCTTGTATTTCGTGAATTAATCATTGCTGTTATATGATTGATAATTTATTTATTATATGTCACTATACGTGTAGTTTTCGAGTGCTATTAAATAAAATGAATACATGGAACATAATCAGATTGTTTAGGACGAGTAAGCACACTACATAAACAAGATTTTTAACAAAAAATATATTCTGATAATACATTTCAAATTTGATTGATTAAACAAATATCAGGATAAGTATTTTTAAGTAAAATGAAGAATTTCAGTATTTGAGAAATGGTCTATAAAATTTCAACTTCTTTAGAGGTTATGTTTTTTATTTAACATTGAACACAATAGAGTTTTATAAAGTATAATTATTAATATTTATTATAGTTAAAATATTTGACTCGTTAAAATTCTATAAAGATTCATAAAAACTGAACGATTTAAAATTAAGACGCACAATTGTTATTCGTATTTTTAAAATAATTTATTATAGAATAACTATCGCATAATACATATAAATATATAAGCACGTCAACCATTTTACTATAATAAATCAGTTTGTGCTATTTTTTTTGTTGCTTATAATGTAATAGACAAATTCATACCTATATGAATGTTTTCAATACAAATAAAACGTATCGTCTCTCGTTTATTTAGCATTCATTACTGTAAGAGAGTGAATTCATTTAATTCAATTCATTTCATTGTAAAATTAGTAAAAATTTATGAGGACTCAAAAAAAATATTAACACTAGATAAATAAAAGTAAAATATTTATATGCATACTCATATGTTTTTTCAAAAATATTAATCAAAAGTAAGCTTTATTGAAATTATATTCCTTTTTGTAGTGAATCAAAAAGAAAATAATACGTGTAGTAACTCAAAAAAGTTTATTACTTGTGTTAATTTAGAGAGAACTTTGAAGTTACTTAAAAGAAATAAAATAAAATAAATATGACGGGATTTGGGTGCTTATTTGAGCTACTACTTTATTATATTAATAATATTATTACTCGGGGTGTGAGTACGAGGGTCTGTAAGAAAGATAGAAGATGATAGAAAAATAAAGTGATCTTTGTTTTATTAATATGGGATTTATTATAATTAATTGTCAATTCTTCAATATCAATAATGTCACGAGTTTTGACGGTTATCGATGATAGATGGAACTGAGTCACCTCGTGTGTCTACCCAGAGTGGTATGGTGGCTATACATATGAACCTCCAACCTATCTCCTGAAATAGACACGTATTAGCGATATAACTCTGCCAAGTTACTCTGTACAAACATTATCGATTTATTAAATTTACTTGGTATATTAATTATTATTGATGATCACTTGATTAATCTATGTACTCATAAAATTTAATTCTAAATCTTATATATTTTTGGTGAAATTATTAGATTGCTACCTTGATTTTTTCTCTGACACTTTTAAATAAATAGATATTATATTTTTTGTACAAATATAATTAAGAAGACGGCGGATCTTCTTGCATATACTTCGTTATGTGAAATGATCGAGCGTAGTGAGTGCCTCTGACCGCATCTGTCTCAGAATGTTTTTTATCTTGGGCTTTTTACATTAAATTTGATCGTGGTTCAAGAGCAAGAAGTTATCACCGACGCCACCATTATTTCTTTATTAATCGTAATTTATTACATTTTCATCAATAATGATCCCTATATTATAAAATACTATCATATCTTATATAATATTTTAGAGATAGTTTAATACCCTACATCTTATGTCCTACAATTACATATTGTTCTAAGAAATTTCATTATTATATTTAAACATTTAAAAGGTACATATATAAATCTTATTTTTATTGGTATACATTTCATTTTGTGTGATTGATTAATTGAAGTCTTAAATAATACATTATGACATTAATGATATACTATGTATATCATTTACAATTCTTCTATTATGTGTTTTGAGTAAAAAGTTAGTTTTATCTCTGTATATTACCAATATTGCCAAAAAAATATTTAAATTCTCTCAGATTTTATTGTATTTCTTTAATGAAATTCAAAATGTAAATAGAAGAAAATTTTATTTTCACTTTTTATTTTAACGAATATTAATACAATACTAGACAATATGTAAATATATAATTATACAGTAACACAATTATTATGTATAGTTCTTAAAATTCAAACTAGTTTACAACTAAATTGACCTATGACTTATGATAGTAATTTTTTATGTAAAATTGTCCACTGAGTCCGAAAATAAAGTCCAAAATACAAAAAGTAGAACAGTTTTCGAGTTATTGCGAAATTAGCGTTTTTCGTGTGTTGCGAAAAAGTGTTTTCATTATATTCTAAATATCATTGATTGCAGTCAACCGATTTTCATTTTTTTTTACATAAAATTAAACAATATTAGATTTCCAATAACTTTTATCTCAAACAATTTTTTATCTGACTTTTTTCTCGTTTGTTATCTACGAATTTACCACTGAATTTTTATCATTTTTTTCAAAATATCAGTAAAAATTCAGAGTTTTACGTAAAATACACCAATAAAAATTAATTTATCAGCAATATACTCAATAGACATACTCTAATACATAACAAAGAAAATGATATATTATTTTGTAATAATGATAAAAAAATGAAGAGGTTATGCGCGATTGATAACTAAAACAAATTTCCATATATCAGAATTTTTATAATTCGATGCTTTAATTTTGTAAAATATAGAAAAAAATATTGAAAAATTACTCACAATATTACTTTTCAAAACAAAATTTCAATTTTTTAAATAACTTAAGGTTATATTATATAGTTTTATTGAGATATTTTTAAATTGAGTTAATTTTACAGTTTGGTGGGGTTGTGGTAAATTTTCGTATTTAAAAATAAATGATAGTTCTCTAAAACTATAAAGTAATTTTCTATAGAATTAAGAGAATTCAAATTGTTTTAGCATGGATTTAGAATTATAATATTAAATATAGTAAATTTTATATACAATTAAAAAAATAAATAATTAAGTTTCACAAAAAAGAAAACAATTATAATTTTCGCTTTTATATTTTTTGTAATTAGCTGTATGATAAGATGAGAGAAAATAGGCTTAGATGGTTTGGTCATGTTATGAGGAGAGAAGAATCGGAAGCTGTAAAACATTTATAGAAATGAATGTTGAAGGAAGAATAGGTAGAGGAAGACCAAAAAAGAGATGGAGAGATGTTATTGAATGCGATTTGAGGACAGCTGTTTTGAGCGTAGATGATGTGGGAAGATCTTGTCAAGTGGAAGTTTAGGATAATGGTGGCCGACCCCAAGTAGTTGGGATTAAGGCGAGGAAGAAGAAGAAGAACAGATTTAAACTGATAGCCGTACTTGATTATTATATTTATTTATTAAGAATAAATAAGATTTTCTTTATGTCATTTATTTTCTTGTATGTCATTAAATCATTATGTAATATTTTTTGTCTGTTTAATTTTCCAAGAAAACTTTCTATGCTTTCTAATAAAGTACTAATGAAGTAATTATTAAGAATAGTCAATGGATTGTTATGTATGTTATCCAAAGTTTCAATAGCTCCTTTCATCAATGTTACCATTGGGAAAATTATAATGGATATTATGTTTATGAGTTCTTCTAACATTGTAGTTTTCTTTTATAATTATTTTATAACTTTTGTATATGTGCATTCAAGAAATATTTGTATTATAATTATAAGTATTCAGTATTCATTTGTTGCTTTAATTTTCAATTTTAAATTCAAAAAATAATAATTTATGAGTCATTGAATTGATATTTTAATTAATATAAGTTATTATAAATACCTGATTCTATTGGTTCCGTTCGTGTTGGTATAAATGCTTCTTCCGTAATTGGATTAAATTTAAATTCGAGTTGAAAATAATTTTCTCTAATTACTGTTTCTGTGTATTCTTGATTTTTTGGTTATGAATTTGATAAATAATAATTTTGCGTCTTGGTCAATAAAGGTTTCATATTCTTGAGACCATTCATCCCATAAATAATTCGTATCATTAAGTACAAACTCACCATGGGATATAATTTGTGTTTGTATAACTGTTATTGAATGCGATAAAAGGACAGCTGATGTGAGCGTAGAGAATGTGGGAGATCGTGTCAAAAGGAAGTTTAGGTTAAGGGTATCCCAAGTAGTTGGGATTAAGGCGAGGAAGAAGAAGAAGATATGATGGAAATACATGATACAAATATATATAATATATAATATACAAATGATAGAAGTAAACATAAAGTATTTATAAAAAAATAAAAAAATTATATTGATCTTCACGTTTCTTAAAAAGTTATAGTAATTTTGAGTTGAAAAAATAAAATATGGAATCGCAAATTTTGTTTTTTAACACTGACAACAATTTGAACATAGAAGATAGGTCGTCGGGATAATTTTCTTTTTTTTGAATTTATTGTTCATACAATAAGCTTTATTACAACATAAATTTAAAGCTCATTAAGTATTTCCGGAACATATTCAAAACTTAAGTTGAAAAATTGAAATTTTTGTACAGACTTTGCTACATTATTACATTGATTAGGAGTAAATTGTATAAAATTATTTATATAAAATTACCACGTAGTTGTCATAATAGTAATTGTATATAATTTTGGATTTTCCAAACTAAAATACGATATATTTTCAGATTGATCTATTTTTATATACAAAATATTTCTATTTAACCAATAAAGATATTATTCAAAACAAAATAATCTCAAATCAATCTTTCTAAATCTCTGTTTAATTAATTTTTTCCCTCTATTTTTTATTATGAACTTTATATTGTCCGCAAACATATACAAAAAAACTTAAATGTCTAAAATTTAATTATTATATCTATGATATATATATATATATATATTTCAGATTATTATCCTATAAATATACCATTAATTTATGATAAATTAATTGCATTACATCATTTAATCAGTTTCTATATGTATTTAAATTAAGGCTCCTCATATGTTCCTTTAAATTCCAATTCTAAATTAAAAAAATAACATGTATAAGCTATTAAAATTATATTTTAATTATTACATTTTTATTCAAAATACCTGGTTCTATTGGTTCTGTTGGTGTTGGTATAAATGTTTCTTCGGTAAATGGATCAAATTTAAATCCGAGGTTAAAATACTTTTCTATAATTACTGCTTTTATATAAGCCTTAATTTTTTTGGTTAAGAATGTGATAAATAATAATTTTACGTCTTGTTCATTAAGGGATTTATATTCCTTAGACCATTCTTCCCATAAATAATTCTTATCATAACGGAAAAAATTACAATAGCCTTTAGTTTCATTAACAATATTAAATATTCTTTTATTAGAAAATGTATATATAATTTGTAGCGTGGATAAGATTGTGAATTCATTATCACATGATAGCGTTTGTTTATTTAAGTTGTCAAGAATATCTTCTATTTCCCCTAATATAGGATTTGCCATATAATAAGGTCTAACACAAAAGACCCATGGTCTTTTATGTAATAAATCCAAAGCGTCCATAGCTCCTTTCATCATTGTTACCATTGGAATAATAAATTTGGATATTATATTTATGATTTCTTCTTTCCAAATAATTCCGTTTATTAAGTCATTTTCTTCTTTAATTTTTTTTTCACAAATTTGTGTAGCCATACTTATTACTGAAAAAATACTATTCATGATTTTGGCATATGAGCATCCAAGATATACCGTCAAAGCTCGTATTTTTCGATCACCTTTAATATGTTCTGTAGGTATTTCAATCAGGCTTGAAAGATAATATAATGTATTGTTATATGTTATACAATGCAATCCGCTTAAATTGTCCCATCCTGAATACATTAGTAAATTATCTAATTGATCTATAATTTTTTTGTTACTCCGATTTGATTTTGTATAAAAAATCATAGAAAATAAAAAAAAATAAAAGTTGACAAGTTTTAATGAAAACATTAAAAATAAATAATGATAGTTAAAATTTTTTTATTTAAGTATAATTTTGAAAAGTATCTAAGGACACGTATGTCTTGTGTTATATATTTATAGAAAATAAAATTAACATATATGCATTAACATCTGTTGTATTGTAATTATATACGTTTATTTATATAATTTTAACTAAAAATTTACCATATTACGTCAAATAAAATTTTACAGTATTGAAATTGGTGTTTTAACATATTCATACTAGTAGCCGTACTTAATTATTAAATTTATTTAATTTTTTTGGTTAAGAATGTGAGAAATAATATAATAATTTAACAAAACCAAAAATTATTATTTATTTTCATTTACACTTGATATTTTAGTTATTTAATGAATTAAAACATTGGATGGTAGACCAGTTGTATTTTTAATTATATGATAAAAGTTAAATACATATACATTTTAATAGCGACTTTTATACTGAAATATTGCTTCGAAACAAATCAATTATTCTTTCTGTGTTTTGTTTGAGCAACGACTTCCTATCACATTATCAAGTGTCTTGTAGTTATTGAAATTGAACATATACAAGGAATAATTATTATCTAATAAAAATTTTTTAATAATATCTGTTTCTAATTTACCATTTTTTAAATCATGAGTTTTATATTAATAAAAAAAAGGTAGCACAGTTGGATCACGGCACAGTATAGACGTGACATTGTTGGGAGAAGTATATAATAATATATAGTATTAAAATCACTATCTTAAGAAACTGTCGTAACTCAAAAATTAATAAAAATGGAAATTAAAAGTATAAAGAAAAGGAATAGGTGAGAGATTACAGTTGAATGAATTAAAATGAGAGTTAGAGTGAGAGTTGGTACTCTGTTGATACCACGGCATGTTAAGGACTATTTGCGTAATATCTAAAAATCAAGCTACATGATGTAACGCACTTAATATTACTTGTTTAATCAGCGTAGGCTACTCATGGAATTATGTTAATACAATGTCTGATATAATTACATTAAGTAAAACATCTGTTTATGATATTTTATGAGTATACTTCATTTACAAGTTTACATAACTTTGAACGGTTTACATTTTGTTATGCGACTACGCTGTTGTTATCGTCTACTCGACTTCCATTAAAGTTAAATCCCAATCATTACATTCTACTCCCTCTGTACTAGTCGAAAAACACCTCAGTGTAACTGCATTTATGATTTCTACCTGCAGTGGCGGCGCTAGCATTTGCGGGGCCCCCCAAATTTTTTTAAAGGATTTTTTTTTTTTTTTTGGTCAACCGAGCAAAATATCGGGTGGACTAATTTGGGGTCACGTGATTTGTGAGGCCACAATTACTGAGGGATATGAACATTAAAAAAACCCAGCACGTGGGGGTCGCAGCACAGTGGTGACGTGGCATAGTTGGATCAAGTATAATGATATCTGACAGTGATTAAAATCACTATCAAAAAAAATGCTTCGATGCAAATCTTTAGATAGTTTTTAATTTTAAANAAAAAACGCTTCGATGCAAATCTTTAGATAGTGTTTAATTTTAAAAAATTGGTGGATTATTCCAAAAGCTTCATAAACTGCTAGTTCCTTATTAATATCCTGATTAAGATAAAGTATGTCGAATGAAAAAGGGATTATTAAAAAATAGTATTTCCCATAAAAAAATTATATTGATCAATACACTTTTCAATAAGTTATAGCATTATTAAGTTAAAAATGTAAAAAATAAAATTAAGAATTTTCACACAATAATAGCATTTGGTAGCCATTTTCACCTTGAAGATAAAATAAAGTCCGAAATTTTTTTTTTCCATGATAAAGTATATTACATTAGCTTTAATTTAAGATATATATAAAAGTGTCAGACTTTCCGGAACACTTTCAAAATTTAAGTTGAAAAAGTAAATTTTTTGTGGAAAAGTTGTCATTTTAAATCCCCCCCTGTGGGCAGGTAAAGAGTCAGATATGAAAAAAATATATACCAAATGATAGGTAAAGACATCATGCATCTACAAAAAAAAGAATTATATTGATCCATACATCTTTCGAGAAGTTATAGCATTATAAAGTTAAAAATATAAAAAAGAATTTTTTTACAAAAATCGTATTTTTATAATTAACTTTGATGTCTGCTTTCACCATGAAGATAAAATAAAGTCCGAAATTTTTTTTTACCATTATAAAGTATATTACATTAGCTTTAATTTAAGATATATATAAAAGTGTCAGACCTTCCGAAACACTTTCAAAAGTTAAGTAAAAAAGTTCTACTTTCTATATGCATTTTTATATTTTGAATCCCCCCTTTATTAAGAGAAATAGTCCGATTTAAAAAAAAAGTATGTTGAATGAAAGATCTATGTAAATACTACTTGTCATAAAAAAATTGTAATGATCCATACATTTTTCAAAAAGTTATAGAATAATAAAGTTAAAAATGTAAAATACANAAAGTTATAGCATAATAAAGTTAAAAATGTAAAATACAAAATCGAAAATTTTCACACAAAAATAGCATTCGGTAGCCATTTTCATCCTGAAGATAAAATAAAGTCTGAAATTTTTTTTTTGCATAATAAAGTATATTACATTAGCTTTAATTTAAGATATATATAAAAGTGTCAGACCTTCCGGAACACTTTCAAAAGTTAAGTTGAAAAAATTAATTTTTTGTAAAAAAGTTGTCATTTTAAATCCCCCCCTGTGGGCAGGTAAAAAGTCAGATTTATAAAAAAAATATACCAAATGATAGGTAATGACATCATGCATCTATAAAAAAAAGAATTATATTGATATGTTTATTTTTAAAAAAGTTACGGCAGTTTTTAGTAAAAAAAATTGAAAAAATTTCGAAAATTTGCCATTTTTAAATTTGTAATTTTTTCGGAGGTTTCCCCCATTTACGGGGAACGAGGGAATTTTTTTCAATTTTTGAGGGTAATGTATTCGGCTAGATACAATTTGTGATCTTTTGACGTATCGTTGAAAGAAATCCGTTCGGTGAGAGCTGAGAAAAAGTGGTAACAGACACAAAAAAAAAAAAAANNNNATATATATATATGAAATATATATGTATAATACAATAAATTAAGATAGTTATTTATATTAAAGTTATGGTTAAAATGACTTTCCAAAATGAACTCTTCTGCTTTTTTGCTGACTGAAGTCGTCAATCAGTTCCTTGAAGTCTAGACTAGATGAACGTTCATTTTCAATTGACAGGATTGCGAGGGCCGAGAGTCTGTCTTGAGCCATCGTGTTCCTTAAATAGGTTTTTATCAACTTTAATTTGGAAAAACTTCTTTCGGCTGCCGCAACTGTCACAGGGACTGTAGCAACAATTCTAAGTGCAATACTTATATTTGAATAAATTTCACTCAAATTGTTGTCTACAATATACTTCAATGCCCGTACTATCCCACTTTGTTCAATTGTTTCTTTTTTTTTTTGCTAAGCTTCTACTTCTACTAAAACGCTTGAAAATAGTTTTAGCTCTTCAAACAAGTCTACTCAGTCTATTTCATGGTTATTTCCTATTGATAGTGTAACTTGCAGATCTTTGCAGTTATTTAACAACTCTTCTTCAGACATAGTGGAGGAGATGTTCATTATGTCATACAAAAAGCCAAAATTATTTTCATGGCATTTCAAAGCTTCAAACCTTGGTTCACAACTTGTCCGGATTTTATCCACAACCACATAAAAATAGCTAATTTTAAATCTATCTTTTGGTGATAACTCTGGTGTGTCATCTGTAGCTTCATAGCCAAAGTGTCTCCTTTTCCGTCTTTGTCTTGTAGACTTAAAAACAATTTCACTAAGGCCTATTTCTTCTGCTACTTCTTTACCTGTCACTAGTGCAGATTCAAAACCCTGATCCCTATACTCATCTAACCATTTCAAGAATACCTTTAAATGATTTATTGCTGCATCTAGATTCATACTTCGACTTTGCCATATTTTACTAATAACGTGAATTTTCACCAGGATATCGTACCAAACTACTAATGAAATAATGAACTCAAATGTCGAGATTTCATTTTCTAACGAATGACATTCACTTATAAGTAAACAGTCTGTGCTCTTTTCCCGTAGACTTGACAGAGCGTCACAAACCTTACTCAACTGGAACCTGACTGCTTTTACAGACTCCACTCTACACTCCCATCTAGTTTCTGTAAGAGGTTTGACTTAAATATCTACATGTTCTTTAAGTTTACTCCATCTATAACTAGAGCATGAAAATATTGTGTACAATCTTTGCAAGGTTTCAAAAAATGTCTGTGCTTGAACACTAGATGACGCTGCATCGCTTAAAACTAAATTCCAACTATGACTACCACATGGTACAAAAAAAGCCAAAGGGTTCAAGTTTAAAATTTTTTGTTGAACACCATTTTGAATTCCTCGCATATTTGACCAATTGTCGTAACTCTGGCCTCTGCAGTTAGCTATATTCAAGCCTAGTTTATCAAGTTCTTTTAACAAGTAGTTGGTTAATTCTTCGGCAGTAGTTTTTTCAACTGCAACAAACCCGATAAAATGCTCTTTAGTTGAAGCAGTTTCCATAAATCACAGAGAGTTGTTCAATTCTTGCAATATCTCGTGTACAGTCTAAAATGATAGAATAGTATTTGTTTTTAAAAACTTTTTCTGTTATATTTTTCACTACATAATTTGCCATTAGAAGTATAAACTCATTTTGAGTTTCTTTGCTCAAATAATGATTTCTACCAATTTTTTTGTTGACAATTTGATTTAAATGTTCTCTCAATAAAGAGTCAAATTTAGCAATTAATTTTAGAAGATCTAAAAAATTACCACTTCTATCTGAACTGTCTGAAGTTATTGTTTCTATATGATCTCTAAATGCTAAATTGTGAGAAGCTAAAAACTGTACAATTGCTAAAAGCCTCTCCATTACATCTTTCCACCGTTGAGCTTCAGATCTAATCTGAGCTTCAGTCTCTCAATCAATGGTTTCAAGTGTTTTTAAACGCTTTTTTAGTTCGAACCATTTTAACATACACTCTCTGTGCGTTTTGTTATTTTCATGACATTTTAAAATTAAACTTAAGTGTTGCCAATCATTTGTACCTTTCCTAGAACTTAAGGCACAATTGGAAATGTCAGAAAATAAACGGCATGCAAAGCAGTGAGCAGAATCATTTGATTCAGAGTAAATGAACCATCGCCATTTTTGTTGCTCACCGTTTAACAAATGTCTAATGTAGTGAATGTTACTAAAATGTCGTCCACTTCAATTCTAGTTCGCTCTGATTGGGTTAAAATTTTTGGCCAAATATAGGAATCACTTATGTCGTAGGTATCCCTGGTTTCATCATACTCCTCGGCCTCAAATTGATAATATTTCTCTTTTACTGGGTCTAAAGATGATGGTATCGAACTTATTAATAACAGATCTCTGGAAAGCAGTGATCCCGGTACTGGTTGCTGGGCTGATCTCTGTTCTAGCTGCAGTTCTAAAGTAGCAGACACTGACTGGGGGGTTAATGAAGATGGATCTGCAGGGGTAGAATGATTATGTGTTTCAGGGCTTTCTAAACTTGCACTGTGTAATCCTAATGGACCACAAGTAACAGTTTTCTTTGGAATTTCAATATCACTACCGTTCTTAGAAGTTTCAGCTTTTAAAAACGTGGTTAATGTGTTACGAAGCTGCCCTTCAAGTACTTTCCTTTTTTCATTTCTTTTTCTTTTGGCACTTATATGGGAATCATATTTTCTACCAATATCTCGATTGCGGGAAGCTATTGAAAAGTCTAACATGAAAAAACCAAATTATTTTATAATTCAAATAAAAAATTACCCTTTTTATTATCATTTATCAATAAACCATTTTTTTAATTTTTTTTAAAATTTCATGAAATTAATTTTTCAAGGTCAAACAATAAACGTGGTTTCTCGGTGATGGTGGTAAGGGGAGGCGTGGTCTTATCAATGATGGGGTAAGGGGAGGTGTGGTCTCATCATTGATTGGGTAAGGAGAAGGCGTGGTATCACGATGGTAGGGGGAATTTGGGACTTGTTAAGGTAAATCAAAATGGCGGTTTAAAGTGCGCATGCGCACTATAACTACATGTCTGCAGTGGGGGGAGGTAGCCATATGGTTGTTCTCCTCCTACGATGCCATCTACTAGAAGGATAAGGTAAACCTCATGTGAACTGATAACGGTAACTGATAAACGTACGTGTAAACATCTACTAGATACATTGAAATAGTGTACGTCATATAGTGGCCGCCGTTGTCACTATAACATATTTACTTAATATTAACGCAGCAAGGGTGTCCGTCAAAATTCCTACAGAGGGAGGGGGAATGAATCTTGAATTAAACTAACCTGGATGAATCCAAGTTAAACTAACAACGTTTTCTAAGAATTTTTATCATTGCCTACCAGACGCATAGGTAAGCATATTTCCAACGTCAAAGGCACCGCCATATTATAACCCACATTACCGTCTTCATTTTATAAAAACAAAGACAACGTCTGTTGTTATGGCATAATAAATTCTAAGAATTTTATCATCGTCTACCAGACGCTTAGGTCAGCAAATTTCAAATATCAAAGAAGTCACCGCACAGTAATGTCGTATGAATCTTATCATGGGTAACCAGACACTTAGGTCAGCATATTTCCAACATCAAAGGTACCGCAATATTATAACCCATATTACCGTCAACATTTTATAATTGCTGTCTGCGTTTTATCAAAGTTATCTTTATCTAAGAATTTTATCATCGTCTACCAGACGCTTAGGTAAGCATATTTCAAACATCAAAGATGTCTCCGTACAGTAATAATCATTGTCGGCTATATTTTATGAGAAAAAATGATATCGTTCATCGTTTTTCACGCCTACACATTATATTATTTAAACTATTCGCTTTTGATTTATGTACTAAATAAATGAAATATAATAAAGATAAGGTATTAAAGTAAATAACACATTCCTTTAGAATAGCAAAATATATATTCAAGTAATTATTAGTATTTTATAAATAAAATTGTTTACATTATTTTTTGAAAATAACAAATTATAATATTTTATGAACTTCATTAGTCATAGGATTATATTCAAACATTTTGTCGTGTACAATTAAGCAATATGCTGTAGTGTTGGTCGGAAAATTTTCATCAGATTCAAATTCTAATCTAATATCTACAGGCGCATTTTTTAATTTTTCGTTTTGCCTCGAACAGTCAATGACAATGAGTGGAGCAATTGTCTTGAATTCTGTTTTTGTCAGCATTGGACACGCCATCTCTTTTTCATAGAACGCCTCTTGGAATTGAGTGTACATGTGATATGGTACAGCATACTTATCATTTGAAAAGTCCATTCGCAAGTTATCATAGGGGTACGATTCCGAATTCAAGTATACTTTTAGAGATGATAACGAACAATGGTCAAATCTACTACTATCTTTGTTTATTTTATTTTTTCTATCCACTTGAAAAGCTACAATAACAAATCTCGGGCTCTCAGTCTGCGATGAAGTTTTCACAGTCCAGGATTGTTTTTTACTATTTGGTAGGCCAGGATTTTCATATAGATCCCAACTTCGAAATGCTATTTGAAGCGGTGTTGAGGTTTCCAAGATTTTGAGCATGTCTAACCGCATGGCATCCGACACACTTACATGTGGAACTTTCCATATAACTTTGTTCAAAATAATTTTACAACTTGATAAATTTTCATTTGTTGAGTAAATACAGTTTAAGTCTGTACCACTCCGTTGCAATATTAAGTCTTGACGACAATTAACGATGACTTTTTTATGATCCTCGGCAAATCCTAATAATAACCTTAGAGGTATGCATACTTCGAATTTCATACTCGTATTTGCAGTTACAACACTCCAGCCAGCATTTTCAAACCGTGTATGATCATTCGGTGAAAACGTGACGTATCCTTTTATTGTAGACATTATCCCAGGCATACGCGATCTATCTATTTCTATTGAGTTCAATAAATATCTTATTTCAGTGAAGCAGTGAGCTAGCCAATTGTTAACCAATTGTACATCTGAGCCGGCAGGAACTCCCGAGAGTTCTCCATCTATCAAGAGATAGGAATCACATGGAAGGGTGTAAACATCTTGCTGTTGAATACATATTCGTATCTCATCATTATTCGATAGTGCGCTAACCGAAAACGGTTGATAGGAAAAATAATCCAATTTCACTATGCGGTCTTCATTGTACGGTGTTTCCATTATTTCTAAAATATCGTCCATTGTTAATTGTATATCCCAAAGCAGAAAGAATGTCAAGGTTTTCACGTCGTATCTCTTCAACTAATCGTTGTTTAATGATTGGTTTTTTAATATTAATCTTGGTTTTATTGAATTGAAGAGCCATCGCGTATATGTAGACGTATAGTAACAGGCTCACCTCTAAAGTTAATCGCTTTATCGTCTTGATCTGTTATTTTCACTGTTATAGAGTATAGTTGATTGGATATTAATGGATAGTATATCAAATTTTTAGGATTTTCAACAATACGGTAACCAGCTGCCACTCCTGGATTAAACTCGTGAACCGTATGACTAGGAATTCCGTTGTCAAATGCGCCATAAGCAGCGTTACAATTTATTTTTATACTAGTTAAATTATTTATGTTAGCAACTTGATCCGATATATGTATTTTATTTGCGTCGAGTATTTTTCGATGAAAGCCTAAAATACCACCTATACTATTTTCAACGCTAAAATCTATCTGTCGGCTACACTTTAATTCTGATTTTAAAGTGTTTTTATTAGCCTTCAACATGAATGAGATTTTATACGACTGAAGACGTTCTTCTAGATATTTACTAATGTCTTCAAGTTCATAAGTGCCTTCAGGCACTTTAATTTCTATGTTATTTTCAAGAAGCTCGTTATTTGTATTTATCAAAGTGAATGTATTGTTTGACTTGTCAATATTAGGTATTGAATTACATCCGTAAAATCCCAACAACGCAACCTCTGGTGCTCCAGTGAATTCTATCGGTGGAAAAAAACTTGATGTGACTTCCGACGTTGTGTCATGCAGCGTAAGGGTCAGCGATTTGAGCATTGTGATTTTAAAAATTTTAAACACAGCTGGCCACAAACGTTTGTGTTATATTTTTGTTTCTGATTATAATTGTATTTCACGCGCAATCCGGTGAAATATTTTTCAAGTTCCAGCGGAGGAGGTAAATTTCCAAAAGAGTCAAAATACACCACGTCCTTGCTTTTCTTGAAATACGCTACCCAATGCGTTCCTTTTCCACGGTCAATGTCCAAATTAACAACTGCACTCTCGTATATTTTGGGCTTGACAGGCAACTTATCTCTTGAAAAAACACCGCGAAAATGACTGATTCCGAATGACTCAGCATATTTTATAATATCTAAATCGCTGAGTGCACGTCGCTTGGGTAGTGTCAATGCTAGTTTTTTTGATGTTTCAAATAGAATCCACCACCCTTCTTTTTCCCAGTATATGGATGCAAGTATAATGCATTACCGATTTTCACTGGTTTATTCGAATTTACGTTTTTTCTAACTTCGTGTGCAGCTCTTACAATACTCGATACTCCACCAGCCAACGACCCTAAAGCTGAAAGTCCAGCAAAAATAGGAATGAGTGGCAGCACACCACCAAATTTAGGTACTTTGATAGTGCGAGGTGTTTTAAATTTTTCTTTGCTCTTTACAGCAACACGAGCTGCCGCTAATGCCAAGTTTGCCGCACTGTTAATATCTTTTGAATTACGCATAGCTTTACGTCCAACTCGCAGTACACCACCAAAGCCCATTCCAATTTTTCTTTTAGCTTTCATTGTATTTGTAACAGCATACGCAACAGCCTTTTCTCCAAATGAACTATCGTTTGCTTTTACGCGGTCCCAAGCACGTTTTTCCAACTCGTAATCAGCCAAATGCCGTTCTGATAAATCATTTGTTCTTGCGTACGCATTATCATGTTCACGACAAGCTGCATCGAGTTTATTTATTCCAGGATCACCACGTGCTAGTTTTTTATTAAGTTTTGTGCCTGGTCCGCAATACTGATACCCTGGAACATGCATTTCAATAGGCAATCGATTAATTATTGAATTAACAATNCAGTGGTCGGCAACCTTTTTTAATTCTCGGGCCACATTTACAAATTAAAAAGAGTTCGCGGGCCAGATAAAAAAAAAAAATTTATAATTACATTATTTATTATGCAAAAAAATACTATCTAAAACTTAAAATAATAATATGACTTATATAAAATACCCGTACCAAAAACGCAACGTTCAATTATATTTATACAAAATGATATTCAATTAAATTAGTCGATTTAGAATTTAAAGCGGGCCGTATTCAATAGCCACGCGGGCCGGATACGGCCCGCGGGCCGCCGGTTGCCGACTACTGCCCTAGAACATGCATTTCAATAGGCAATCGATTAATTATTGAATTAACAATACCGCGTCCTACACTTCGCTTTGTCGCACGTCTTGTTCGCACCATTTTCAATTTATAACTGTAAAGGTTTTTTGAGTTTTTCATCATTTATACTCATTATTCGTTTGACGAGTAATAGCGTGCGCTAATAATGTTTTTTGAGAAACAGAAACATACTCTATCAGTCGATAATGTCGTGGATCTTACAGACCCCATCGAGTCTAAACATGGACCACTGTTACCCAACACAATAAGATGCATAATATGTGGACCATCAAATTGTGGTAAAACAAATGTTATGTTTAAATTATTAACTGAGGAAAATGGTTTGCGATTCGAGCACCTATACGTTTACACGAAAACCCCGGATCAGCATAAATATAAATTATTAGGTGAGATTATGGATAATGTGGTAAAATTATCCATGTTCACCAGCAGTGAAGACGTGCCACCACCCGAAAAATTAGAAGCAAACTCTGTATTTGTATTCGATGATGTGATTTGTGAAAAACAAATTCATATGACATCTTATTTTTGCCGAGGGCGACACAATGGTGTTGATAGTTTTTACCTAACACAGACGTATTCTAGAATTCCAAAACAACTGATAAGAGATAACACTAATATGATTATACTGTACAAACAAGATGAAACAAATCTCAAACACGTTTATGAAGATCATTGTTCCAGTGATATGAGTTTTAATGAATTCAAAGCAATGTGTTCACAATGTTGGAATAAAGGACGATATAGTTTCATTACTATAGTGAAAGATGATGACCTCAACAATGGCCGATATCGATGTGGGCTTGATATATTCATAAAAATGACGCGAGTATAAAAAGACGACTCATACTGCTATATGTTTAGTTTATATCAAGATGTCGGATAAAGTGTTGAAAGAAATTATAGGCTCTAAACAAAACATAAAAAATAAAATACAGTTAATTCATAGAAATGTTGAGAAATCGGAAAATTTTGTACGTACACATATGTCACCGCTGGTGACACCTCTTCAAGAAATAGCTAATCAAAATCGTGTTGAAATGGAAGAAAAGCAAAAGCATAGAAAGTCATTGTTTCGTCACTTGGACAAAGCCCGTCCTATAGTAAAAACTGATCCAATTACATCCGAAGAAAATGATATGATACAGAGCTCTAGCGAACCCTCTACATATCAGGAAGAGGAAATAAAGATGGAAAGTTCAATAAAAAATGAACCTTCTACATCTCAGGAAGAAATAAAGACGGAAAATGTCGATAAGCCTAAACGCTCGTTTTCCAGTGAAATGCAGCGAGAAGATTTTTCAAAGTGGTTGTTAGAAATGGACCCGGTTTACGGTTTAAAGTATGTGAAAGATAATGATTTTATCATGGGCAATACTACGGTTAAAATAACCGATGATTTTTCAACAATCAAAGTTGGGAAATTAGCACCACGACCACTAAGTTATGGGCTTTATCAATTATTATTTAAAAGTAAACCTGCAGTTGGTTCATTCAATAAAATGGATTTATCGGATTATAAAATTTTACTACTTTACACTAATGCCCATTTAGGTCGAGATGGAAAATTGAAATGTAATGTAGGTTATAAATATAAATACATCATTAGTAACTTGTTTCCTCCGAAAACAGGCAGTGGTGTGTTAACCTACAAAATTTTAAACAAAAGACCTAAAGAATACGTATATTGGAACGATCCTAATGAACTCATAGTTCGATTAGAACTTTTACACGCTGCAAGAAGTGCCGGAAATACAGGTGTGGGAAACGAAATACTGTCAATAGAAGAAGAGTTACGAGAACTAGGTGTAATATCATGAGTAAAGTAGCAGAGAAAGTAGCAAATGAATTACATAGACCGGCTAGAAAAATATTTCCTAGAAGAAGAGTTGTATCGTATGGCAAAGATGACTTGTGGCAAGCAGATTTAGTAGATATGAAAAAATACTCTACAAAAAATAAAAATTTTACCTATATTTTAACGATAATCGATGTTTATACAAAATATGCGTGGGCTGTGCCTTTAAAAAATAAATCTAGTACAGAAGTCAAGTCGGCTTTTGAAAAAGTCTTGTTCAATAGATCTCCAAAAAACTTGCAACAGACCGAGGTTTAGAATTTTTCAACAAACATTTTCGGATGCTCATGAAGAACAAAAATATAAATCATTATTCAACCTACTCTACAATGAAAGCGGCTGTTGTGGAGCGATTTAATAGAACACTAAAAGAAAAAATGTGGAAAAAATTTACTACCAATAGATCATATAGTTGGATAAACATTATAGCAGATTTAATAACAAATTACAATAATACAAAACATAGCGCCATAGGAACAACTCCTAGTATAGCATCACGTAATCCTGGAAATGTCAGTTTTAAACGGCTACCTAATTTAAAATATAATAAAAAGTTTAATATTGGAGATAAAGTTCGTCTAAGTAAGCATAAAGCAGTATTTTCAAAAGGATATACACAAAATTGGACATCGGAAGTCTTTACAATCGCAAAAATTCGTGATACAAAACCCGTGGTGTATGAGCTAACAGATGAAAACAACAGACCTATAAATGGTTGTTTCTATGAGCACGAACTTGGCAAGACTCAGTTTCCAGAAGTTTATCTAGTGGAAAAGATCATTAAGAAGAATAAAGACAAATGTTTTGTCAAGTTTGTTGGTTTGGATAATTCACATAATAAATGGATAGATTCAATCGATATTATATAAAATGCCTATAATTTTTTGATATTAATTGTAATAAAACATTTAGTTAAATAAATAACAATTACAAATACAACACGAGGTTTTTTTTTATTTAATATCAAAAAAAAAAAAAAATATATATATATATATATGTATATACGTGTACATATCTGTGAAATATATACTAAACGATTTTTTCTCTTCTTATTATATCGTACAGTACAATAGATGTGAATATGTTCTATGTATAATCTTGTACTTGGATTTATAGGATGATGGTGCCACTACACCGTTTGAAAAACTCCCTCATCGAGGTTGGCAGACCTATCAGGTTAAAATTTTCTGCTATAAAATAGGGGAAACTCTATATTTTAGAGCTCAGTTGATTTCGTATACAATATATANTATATTTTAGAGCTCAGTTGATTTCGTATACTTTATGTGTACCTACATATATATTGTTCGGAATAAATTTTATAATTACGTTAGAGTTTAAGTATAACTGTTACTGAGCACATACACGTACATGTAATGGATACTGAAAGCACGTTTCTCACTGGGATGATTGTTGACATACAGGGTCTAATGTCTGCTGATCATTCATTTTTGGTTAAAGAAANACTAATGTCTGCGGATCATTCATTTTTGGTTAAAGAATTGTCCGTCATCGCTCTGGACTCTACATGTCTCTCTCACTGGGTATTCAAACATCCAAACACCGTAAAGGATGATAAGAAAACCACATACTGGTTAAAAAAGTACCATCATGGCTTGGACACAAACATTGGCGATATCGAATACTCTGAACTACCGAGAATAATGAAACTGTTACGCTGTGAGACTATTTACGTAAAGGGAGCTATCAAAAAAAGTGTTTTGGAAAAGTATTTACCAAACCAGAATGTAATCGACATGGAAGACTTGAATTGTCCACCGTTATACAATCTATTCTGCTCTACGAAACCATGCTGTGTTCGACACATGAACAACTATAAAATGTGTAGCTTGTATAAAGCAATATGTTTAAAACAATGGCTGATTTACAACTCTTAAATGTATAAATTAATAAAAAAAAATAAATAAATAAAAAAAAATTGTTTTTTTGTAAAACTAATATATTTATTGTATATCACAAAAATAAATATTTATTTACATATATAAATAAGAATTTTTTAAGATTAATTATTTTCATCCTTTTTTTCCACACGCTTTGTCAATAAATATTTTACCTTTATTGAACAAAACCCAAGCGCATTTGGGAGACCATCGTGCATGTTCTGTCCACGGTTCGTCATCATCATCCCAGTCTCTTAGTACTTGACTACAGCAAAAACAACACATTCGATCATTTTGACCGTTACCTGAAATGATATTTACTATGAATTAATCAATATAGCGTGAATCGGTGTAATTATTAGTATTCTTTCAACAAAATAAATTAAAGCTGATTATGTAACTAGCATCTTGATGTAGTCTAATATTATATTAATAAACTATACTATTACCTATATAAAAAAATCCAGCTTCGCATAGGTTTTGTACTTTTTGCATCATTTTTCTTTGACACTTGTTAAATGNAAATTAAAGCTGACTATGTAACTAGCATCTTGATGTAGTCTAATATTATATTAATAAACTATACTATTACCTATATAAAAAAATCCGGCTTCGCATAGGTTTTGCACTTTTTGCATCATCTTTCTTTGACACTTGTTAAATGTTGCCATACGAGCGACATGTACTAAACGATATATAATTAGGAGTTTTAATTTGACGGACCATTTCTAGTAAATATTCTAGTTNGTTTTAATTTGACGAACCATTTCTAGTAAATATTCTAGTAAATTTTCGGCTTTCATACTAGAGCTAATTGCAGAGGGTGGAGAACCGTACAAGCCACAAACATCATACGCTGAAGAGAGAATATTCATAAAACATACAAGAGATACAAACACGTACATTTTGAATTACCTGAACTGTCTCTAAAGAAGTGACATTGAGGACTTTTACGCTTGTGTTCCATTATCGAATCTTCACCGCGTACTAAACAATCGAATTCGTTTTGAAAGTCAGTGACGTAAGTTTTGCGTATAGAGAATGCAACACATCAAACACGTACTCAACGCGTACCATACATAAGTTTAAAGCAGCGTCCATTTATATGGAAACCCCTATAACGTATAGCGCTATGCATATATCACGGTGAAATTATTAATTAATTTAAACTCGATAGCAATAATTAGTCTAAAAGATAAATATGGTACAAACGGTTGTAAACACGTTTAGAAGGGATTCAAACAGGATGAACAGGGATTTGAATGCGTTCAGACAGGTTTTAACATGTTAAGACTTGTTGAATCGAGATTATACGATTCCAGGATATGCTGTTTGGTAAATCGATACAGTGTCCCTACTACTTTTATAAACAGCCTACTACATGCCATAGATAGTACAACGTGCTACAAATACCATAGTGTATACTAAATTTGCTATTTAATGTGTAAAACCCTTCTTTATACTGCTTATTACTGCAGACTTATATTTAATATTCA